TTCTATTCATGGAATCATGAAATGAGTCGGCTTCTGCATTCTGCTCCTCAGCCAACGCCATGTGCACACCACGGTGACTAAAGCGGTGTTCAGGAAGGAGTAGTGCTGTGTACACTGGCGGTGTTCAGGAAGGAGCAGTGCTTTGTGAAGCCTGCTCCTGGCATTGCTGTGTTACTGAGGCAAGCTGTGTGTATGTGTGCCGTTGCTAGTCAATGTGGGGCGGTGCATGCTGTGTGCAGCAGGAAGAGGAAGCAGAGGGTGGATCGTAACTAGGAACTGATGAGTGAGCCGGTGATTGTAGGCACACCAGAGAGACAAATAAACCCCCAGCCAGGGTTGGTAACTCGGGCACAGCCCTGCTGCGGGTTAATGTGTAGTCCATGCGGGTTATATGAGCGGTGTGTCAGTTCGGTGAGTTCATTTCCTCCTTGTTATCCCGTGCCCAGATAAATCAGTATGGTACCTGGACCACATGAGTGAAGGGCACACCTCTAACGTGCCCCTGGCAGGCCAGATATCCCGGATAGCCAGAGATAGATACCCTGCTATAGATTGATGAAATGGTCTTGGGGTACGGCCCCCTGTTGCTGCTAGAATGAGACTTATGTCGTAAACTTATAGAACTGACCGGTCAGATTTATCGAGGGTTAACCCTTTACATGATAGGTGTGTCTGGTATGCAGTGGCATCATTATGAGATCTAATGTGTGCTACAGTTCATAGAGATAAGCTTGGAATTTGTGTTTTTTAATAAGCATGGATTTGTAGTCACTAGAAAACCAAATAGCAAAATGTTTAGCCTAAATTTTGCATTTTAGTTTTCAATTCACTGCATTTAGGTGATTACAGGGGCATTTGAAATTTTTATTTTTTATTTTTTTGGAATGCGGAAAGAAGTAAATATAATGTTTTAGGTCAAAGTAGTTAAGCTGGGGGAAAAAAACTAAATCTCCCTGTCAACTATCTTTTTTGGCCTAACATTTAAAACACACTTTGAATTCAAATAACATTTCAAATTCACTCTTTAAAATATAACCCTGTGAATAGGTTGTTCTTTTATTTGTACTGTTTTTGTACTAATTCAGCTCTTTAGAGTGGCACCAATTTAAAGTGTTACTTATACTTAGTTGGATAACATAAATCAGGTCCCAGTTCTGAATGGACTTTGAACAGAAAAATACGCAGATGGTTTAGAACCAGCAAACCATTAAATATTGAAAGTGCAGTCCAGTTTCAAATATTTTCTTAATCTGATGCAGGATTTAATCTATTCATAAGACCGAAGCAACTTTCTAGAAACTAAGGGGGTTACATATAAAAAGCAGTTCTTGGCCAGGGTCCCAAAAGTGGAACAATTGTCTTGTAAGTTAATGAATGCTTCTGCTGATAATTCTTAAAAAAAAAAAAAAGTATATTGTTTATCAACTTTGTAAAAAAAGTTTTACTAACGCAACAACCTCCTTAAAATGTGTCAATCCCTGTCTTCATTGAGAAATCTTGGCTGAAGGCTGTCCAAGCTCTAAGTTCAAACTATGTAACTTTTTAGGTTTTTTTTCCCCCATCTTATTATAAAAGTATCCTATGTTCCATACAGCCATAATATGATACACAGCATACTACAACAATGTAGCCATAAGGTTAAAGCAGTTGTAATACATTGAATACATAGTAGCAATAAGCCATGTAACAGATAAATACAGTAACAGCAGCTATTGCTTACAGACAAAGTGAATGTCTCTTTTGGAACTCGATAGTAATAGGCAAAGCATTTGCGTAGGTGTCCAATTTGAAAAAGATTTGGTTAAAGTAGTGTCCTGAGAATGTATAGAAATGTTAATGAGCTCCTGTGTTGTTGATCTTTAAGATAAAATTGTTTCCAAATGCAAATCCTCTCTCTGACATGAAACCCTTTCTTTAGGGTTTCTAATTGTCACCCGAGATACCGCTCCCTGATAGCTGCCTCAGTGCTAGGGTTTTCCCAGAAATTGGTGGGTGGTCCTTCTAAAGCACGCCCATTTGCTTGTGTTGTAGACACGTTTACATAGTTACATAGCTTAAGAGACTTGCGTCCATCAAGTTCAGCCTACCTCACATTTGTTTTTTGCTGTTGATCCAAAAGAAGGCAAAAAACCCAGTTTGAAGCACAATTTTGCAACAAGCTAGGAAAAAAAATATCCTTCTTGACCCCAGAATGGCAGTCAGATTTATCCTTGGATCAAGCAGTTATTACCCTACATTAAAAGATTATATCCTTGAATATTCTGTTTGTGCAAGTATGCATCTAGTAGCTGTTTGAACATCTGTATGGACTCTGATAAAACCACTTCTTCAGGCAGAGAATTCCACATCCTTATTGTTCTTACAGTAAAAAAACCTTTCCTTTGCCTTAGACAAAATCTTCTTTCTTCCAGTCTAAACGCATGGCCTCATGTCCTATGTAAAGTCCGGTTTGTGAATAGATTTCCACACAATGGTTTGTATTGGCCCCGAATATATTTGTCATTAAAGTGTGAATTCCTAGAAATTCAAAGTGAATTTTACATTTTAGGCTAATCTAGAAGAACTGAAAATTATTCAAATTTTTGTTTGGATATAATGAAAACTGATGGCAGACACAGTCTAACCCACAGACTTCCTAATGCAGCTTAATGAGAAGGCTTTGTAAGTTAGGTGCTCTGGGCAATTGCTGCCTCTTGGGTTTAGCTTGACTAAGCTAAACAACCAGGAACTAACAAGAATGGTTGTATGATTGACAGCCAAGGGGTGTATGAAGGTTAATTGATAGAAGTGCCAGTTTCTATTGAATGTACAATTTTTTTTATATATATATAAAAAATGAGGACACACTCTTCATGCACAAACCATTTCAACCAACTAAAGTGCTTTAGGGGACGACGTTGTCCCTTTAACACCATTTGACTACTTAATCTACACAGTGCTGCTGCTTATGGTGGCTAAACAACCCCTTAAATTTGTATATGTCTCGCTTTGTCATTTGCCATCAGGCATAACTTCTAACCACTGATGTGAAAATGCATCTTATTGAATGTTGCTCAATAGAAACCCATTATATCTCTTTGCATATACACTTTACTGCAAACTTGTACTTCTTTTTGTCTCTTATTTATTTTTTATTTTTTTTGAGTCTATCATCTACAGTTTTTTTTTTCTGGTGGAAACAATGTCTTGTTTTTTGGGTTTTTCCCAAACAATTTAATTTGAGATGCATTTACATTTTCTGTATAAAATGCAGGAAGAAAAAAACTCCAAAACTTAAACATGATTATGCGTATTTACATACTTATTTCTGTGTGTTTAAATGTTTTCCCAACTGAGTCTAAATTGCAGCCAATATTAAATTGTGTAGATATTTAGCATGTGCAAATACTTTTACAGAACAAAATTTTAACATCTGTTTGAACAAAAATACTGTTATCCTTTTTTTTTTTTATTAGAGCATTCCTTTTTTTTTAGGTTTTAATGTCAGTAACAATATTTTATGTTCAGAAGGGGACAACTTTGTAATTTAGCTTCACTTTCCTGTAGTTATACATTGAATCTATGCCTTGTGCTAGTGAATTTGCCAGCAAGTTTATAGATTAAATCTGCAGTGTAATTATTTTTATATATTTTTTAAATAAGGGTCAATTTGGGATGGTGGGGGGAGTATGTTTATATAATGGTATGATGTAAAAATGTCAGAACCCCTTTAAGACGTGTGCATCATTCCCTTACATTCCTACTTGCAGTTTATGCTGAGTTTTATGCAAACTGACTGCTTTTCCAGTTTTGTTAGGTCAGGGGGAAGATGTACCAAATATGTTAGAGAGACTGACATGTAAATTATCTAGTTGAATTGTTTTGCTTTAAGAACGGTTTGTGAGTTGTCAATATATCATTTGCATGTGAAAATAGCTGTTCCTTATCCATCTTCATGATTCTTATAACATTTTATATAAGTGCCATGTTTTGGATGTTCTGGCTTCAGTTGGAATAATAATTACACTATCATCAGAATTGACTATCTCAGCTAATCCAATGCTTTCACTTAGGAAAGAATTGGATTACCGGAAATCGTCAATTCTAATGATCTCAGCCAAGAGGACGGGGCAGAGCCAAGTGCCCTATTGGCCAGTCAGCATCTCCTCACAGAGATACATTGAAAA